TGTGCGTTGAAAAATGCAAAAAAGTGAAGACCGTCTTTTTAGGGGTTTTTTATTTTTATATGTTTTCAGTTTTCCTTTCATTGTCGAATTTTTATTAGAAAAATAAAAATGAAAGCTTTTAGAATTTACTACGCGGGTTGTATAGGCGTATAGTTAAAGTTCTTTTTGTTTTGTTTTCTTAAATTTTTGTCTCTAAAGACTTTTAGTCTTTTCTTAAACTTTAGTTGTTCAATAGTCATGCTTTAATTTGTTATTACTGCGAATTCATTGTTGATTTTCTTCATCAATCTATATATCTAACTTCTTTTCCCACATGTATGATTAATGTATCATTTTGTGTATACTTGAGAAGTTTGGTCATGTAACAAAGTCTTCAGCTAGAAAATCATAAATAAACACAAAGAAATTAAATCGGTTTTGTGTTAACTGCATGTAACAAAGTCTTTGACTATAGAAAATTTAAAAATAGAAACGATCCACAACAACTGATCGTTTATGTTTGCTTTGTGTTCTAAAAACGTAAAGCTCCAAGAACATTTACAGAACATGAACCTTGATTCTATGTTAAATTTTGGTTAATTATATTTATCAATTTTTTTATTAAATTCTTGCTTGGGAGAGATTTTGGTTCAGTCTAGAATTCTCGAATTATCCAACAAAAAATGTCTTATTCCATTTTTGCTTCTAGCTTATGAAATCCGCTTAACAAAACTTATGAATTGTGTGAGTCGAAATTTCTCTCATTCTTCTCTTTCCGATGGTTTCACTTCCTTTACTCCATATATACATTTTTTTTGAACAGTTTTTCTTTCTCTCTTGAAGGGAGGAGAACAAACCATTCATACAAATGAATCTCAACAATATTCATCCGAAAAATCTCATAACCCCTATATAATAGATGACTTGCCTTGTTTCGTCAATGTAAAATACCTAACTTCTAAGCTAGAAAGAACACGTATCACCAAGCACACCCCATATAAGATATAAATAAATCTAAAAGTAAATCAAGTTTGCTAAAAATTGAAATACAACGAAATACCATAAGATCTTACGGTGAAGTAGAGTTGTCGATATATAATGCAAATAAATCCAATCTTCTACATTTAGTCCTTCCAAGTTTAAAAGAATATCATCATAAGGGATGAAACCAGAGAACCCAAAACTAAATCTCATGTCCCTTTCAAAATGGAGAG